TTTTTTAATGCATTTAAAATTTTAAACTATCTTTTATTTCTGTATTTTTATAATATAATTGCATAGCAGTTTGGTACTTTGTGGTTTTTAAGTGCTTTACAAATAAATTTTAATTGAATTCAATTGAAAAACACATACAAAAAGCACCTGCAATGTTGGCAGAAACCCCACAGATTAAAATTTTTTTTGTGTATGTGTGTGTATATATACACATTAAAAATATGATAAATGAGCTGTACGATAACTGTCTGTATGATAAAGTAAGTCTGACTCTGCACTAGTGCACTGAAGGAGGTTCATACTGTCTTCCAGGTTTCAGACCCACCTGCAGTCACATCATTACAGTTTGATTTGGGATTTTTTTTCTCAGGGGTCTCCACCTTTTCATTCTTCTTCTGTTGGTTTTCTAAAACTACACTTTTCTTCTCCTTTGACCCATTAATGTGATTTTCTATCTTTGTTGTTCTTTCTGGAGGTGGTGTGCTGGAAACACTTGTCTCCATTTTTGGTTCCTTATCCAGACTTTCATTGTTAGGGCTCCTGTTCTGATGGATCTCAGCCTTGAGAGACCTGCCCTCCTTAGGATCCTGACTTCTGATGTCCTCAGCTTGCTTGTCTTCTGTCTTCCAGTTGCTGTCACTGACCGGTGTGGTGGGTCTGTGTTTCATAGGGGAGGGTGGATATTGCCGCACTGTACAGGGCGACTGAGTACGACTCTTAGGCAATAACCTTCGAAGCATACAAACAGAGAGCTGATTCAGATGCTTATAGTCAGCACATTACTGATAAAACATGTAATTAATCAGAGGTCACTTTGTCAACATCTTACATATATACTGGAAATAATACATATATAGGTAAGTGTGTATGTGTGTGTGTGTGTGTATCTTACTTAGGTGTGGCAGGTGAGGCAGAGCGCCGGGTAACATCAGCAGGAGATTTAGCTCGCCTAACCGGAGAACCTGTGGCTGGAGAGCCAGTCCTCCTCTCTCTACGCAATCTCTCCTTCTGCAACAAACACAAATAACACATAACACTCTATGGTACACTGCTGCCATATGGCAACACAACAGTTTCCTTTGCTGTGTAATTATTCACAGAAAAATGTCATAACATTCCATTGGGGAATTCCAAAGAGAAGTCTTTAAGAAACCGATAATCTGCTGTTTTAAACCACTTGATATCGGATTTCATCTCCAAATCAGTTTTTCCCAGAAGTCAGCTATTTATTTCTGCCTTTACACCTGGATTTTTTTTACTGCATCTTTGATAAGTTGATTAAATATAATTAAAAATCAACTTTGTTTGACAGAGTAGATGTAAAAAGGCAATGGCAATTCTGCTTTCCCCTAGTAAAAGAGTAATATATTTAAAATACATTTTTACTATTTAAACTGAACTGAGCTGGATGATGACATCACTGAATTCAATTCAATTCAATTCAAGTTTATTTGTATAGCGCTTTTCACGATACAATGATGAGCTGCCTTTAACTGAAAATTGAGTGTTTACTATTGTCAAGTTGCATTATTGACACACTATTTTCCTGTAAAGTTGCTTTGACACAATCTGTATTGTTAAAATCGCTATATAAATAAAGGTGACTTGACTTGACATTTATTTCATACTGAGTATAGTTCAAATCTATTGACATATTTACTGACATATTACTCGAGACTTGCTGATAAAAAACAACAACTTATAATTAAACTTAGTTGTTCCAATTTAAGTATACTAGTTAAGTATGCCAACAGTACAATTGCAAGGTATTTTTATTAAGCACATAAACATATAAATGTATTTGTAGTATACTTAGAATGAAATAAATGTATTTCAATACATTTTTTACTATATTTATTTCTCACTAGGGTCATGAATAATAACTAATTTATTTAGAGTAGTAGCTGATAACTAGCTGCTGTAATAGCATAGGGCAACATGCCTCAAAATTTAGTTTTTTTGGTTATTAAATCTATTATTAAACATATACATACATAACTAATTAAACAAATAAATAAATAATAAAAATGATCCTAAAAATAGAACCTAATATATAGCCTACCATGGAGGTATAAAAGTGTTGTTGTTTTTTTCTTCTGCATGTCTTTGTGGACCATACAACTAAAATTGCGCTCTCAGTATGTAGCCTATTTTATTGAAAGCTGTTGTCTTGTACCCCTATGAACAGAAGAGGTGTGCTTTTGAGTTTGTTCCAGATCTGTCCTGACCTTGGGTGTGTTGGGGGCACTGAGAGCTCCACTGGACTCTTCTGTTGGCACAGGGTTGTTTCTTCTTCGACTCGGTGACCCTCTGTATGGTGACCTGTGAGGACTGGAGGGCACTGCGTGGGAGAGACATGGGAGCATTTCCTGGTCAGAACAGATCTGTCAATATTACCACATGTGGCTACACAGCGTGAAAAACGACATTAAACATTAAGCAAGCCACATGTACACACATACACACTCTTTGGTTATCTAAAACAAAACAAACAAAAACTTTATTCAGTGGCACGAATGAACAAAGATGTGATTCAGCTCCTGTGTGAAGCTTTAATAAGATAATACACCTGTTGCCGAGTGTGTGTGTGTGTGTGTGTGTGTGTGTACTGGTATATATGGTTTATGAGGACACAAATGTGTATAATGACATGGGTACTACAACGGAAACATGATTTATGAGGACACTCCCTGTGTCCCCGTAAAACAGGACACTTCCTGTGTCCCCGTAAAACAAAAGGCTTAAAAAACATACAAAACGGTGTTTTATGAAATTCAAAAATTGCCAGTAGTTTTCTGTAAGGGGTAGGTTTAGGTGAATGGCGATAGAAAATACAGTTTGTACAGTATAAAAACCATTACGCCTATGGAGAGTCCACGTAAACCACAAATGCAAGTATGTGTGTGTGTGGTTATGTTAACGTGCCCATGCCTCAAATAAATAAAACAATTAAACCGAGACCTAATTAGAAAGAAAAACAACCCAAGAACAGAAGCATGCACACACACTTCAATATCAGAAGAACAACATTGCTGTGATTAAAGTACTGGTTCACACACATGAAGTTGTAAGTAAAAAAAAAAAAAGTACACTCACAATCAATACAAAACACGCAAAGACACCGCAGCACACAGACATTCAGATTTGCTTTGACTTTCACCAACCAAGTATTGAGCCACAGAGCAAGTGCACACTGAATATACAGTGCCGTGCTAAAGAATTCATCAATTCTCCCATTCTCTGACGTTTTTATTTCAAAGCACTGATATTGCTTACCACCATAATGAAATACAGCCAAAGATTGTCAGCTGAACTGAGACAAGAAACTAGCCTATGTTTTTCACCATGTTCTTTTTGACTAATGGGTATTTTTATATTGCAAAAAAATTGGTTCTGTCCTGTGCAAATCTACTGTCTTGATGCAGGGGTTTTCTAGAAGGTTGCCAGGGTGTTGCTAGCATGTGAAAATGCATATTCTAGAGTGTTCTGGGTGGTTTCTATGTGGTTGTACTGGCCAAAGTCAACAGAAGTCATCCCCAGGTGTGATACCTGGTCACAAGATGTGGCTCAGGTTTCTCCTTCATTGTAAAATGTGATCAAATTTGCACAATTTTGCAGACAAAAAAGGTTCATTGTTTATTGTCAATACTGTAATGATGTATGAAGCACTGGTCACACAAAGTAAATTTTTTATCATACAGACAATCTGTGTGACCAATTTTCACTTTTTGCATGTGGAAATCTTTCACTCTTGCATGAAATAAAGCATCGCATGCATTTCTAATCAAAAGACTGGAATTTGCCCATGAAAAATTCACAGAACAACAGAAAATGTGATTGCACCTTAAGCCTATATGCAGTTTTTGTTGTTGTTGGCCAGTTTTATCACCCATCAAGCAAACATCCAAAGTCAGAATATTTAAAAAAGCGTTAGGACTTGCCATAGCAGACACTACTAATTTTTTTCAGTGCTTAGAAGTTAAAGAAAAATCACATGAAACTGAATGTCAATGAAGAATTTGTAATTCAGTGATTGAGAGACTGAATACTTCTACAAGGCACTGTACATTCAGATTAGGTATAGCAGCATGTGAATTGCTCAGCAAAACAAATACTGGACATTATTTTACTTAAAAGCAAGCTCTTTTCATCCCCTTATCTTGCTGGCTCTTGTTTAAAAAACAATTTCAAGTCAAATATTTTTCACATCCGGATATGCAAGCATTTACCCCACTTAGTTAGCCCCCTAAGTGCTCAAGCAGGAACAGGGGAAGGAGAGCAGGCTGGTTTAGAGTTTTGGGATGGAAACCAAAACGGGGGTAAGAGGGGATGAGAAAAGGCCAGCTAGGGTTCATACCGTTGCCTGATTCGATGGCAGAAGGAGAGGGGGCAGCGAGGTCATGGGGGAGGGCGGAGGCAGCAGAGAGAGGAGGCGGGGCATTCTCCCAGTCACCTGGGCGATAGAGTCACGGTAGAGCACAGCAGAAACAGCAGAGCGTTATGGACAGACTGGGCACCCTTAGGTGAAGCGTGTGTTTTTGGGGTGGTGTGTGTGTTGCACACACACCTAAACACTTCACCACATCCTCTGGCGCTCTTTACGCATGGCAGCCAGACACAATGAGCAGGGCTGAGCTGATTCAGACACACTCAAACTCAAAACCTTCATCCTTCACATTCACACACGGCAATCATCAAAAAAAAAACAGAACACACTTTTCATGAGTTTTCTCAATAAGCATTCACATTTCTGGGGTAAAACGGGATAGTAGTTCACCACCCAAAAAAATATTTCTGTTTCTGTTTTCTTTTGACTTGCATTGTATTTTTTTACATGACATTTTTTGTACATGCAATGGATGTCAATGTGAACTGAAAATGTTTTTCTGTAAACATTCTTCAAATGTTTTTTTTCTTCCACAGAAGAAATAAAGTCATAAAGGTTTGGAATGACATAAGGGTGTGAGCAGTGTTGGGAAGGTTACTTTGGAAATGTAATAGGTTACAGATTACAAGTTGCCCTATTTAAAATGTAATAGGTAGTGTAACTATTTAAATTACTTTATTAAAGGGGTGGTTCACTGTTTTTTTTCTAGGCTTGATTGTGTTTATGGGGTGCAGTTCAACATGTGTTAATGCTTCGTTTAAAAAAAAAAAAAAATTATTTTTCACATAATTTACCTTTATTCCATACCGCTCTGTCCCTTCTCTGAGAAACGCGCTGATCATTTCCTTCTTGTATGAAGCCCCGCCCTCAGAAATAGGCGATGGGCTCTGATTGGTTAGCTAGCCCAGTGTGTTGTGATTGGCTAAACCGCCTCTAGTGCGTGTCTAAACGTCCAGCTAGGGCTGTGCAATTATTCGAAAAACAGTTTCGACGATTATGAAAATACAATAATCGAGATAAAACGATTATTGCGCCCCATTCCGCCCCCTTCGCAACGGTGTGCTTTCGTTCCTCCATAAAAGCCCAGTTTCACATGCAAATCAGTAAATCATGTAACGTGATTTTTGCAAAATGGGACGTGCTTGATTTATTGAAGTGTATTAAATTTATTCATGTTTTTAAAAGCGCTAAAGAGAACTTGCGCTTCCTCAGGATGATTTCTGTGTAACATTATGCGTGCAGAGACGGAACAGAACACGGACATATAGTCAACTTTAGGTCAAGCTGCGCGCCTAAATGGTCAAATACACGCAAAAATGTGTCAAAATGCGGCGCGTAGTGATTATTCACGTAAACCTCCGTCGGTCATGTAATAAATGAACGTAAACAGTTGAGAATTAAAATTCATGTGTAACGATAAACTGGATCCGTGCGGCTCTTAAAAGTGACAGCGGGCTATATTCCTGCTGCGACTATGTGCTTAATATTAATCTAACAAAAAAAGACTAATTTCAAAATCACACACTGCTCTTGAGTGAAGGATTTTGTAGCTTTAATAAAAAACAAAGAAAGTTTAATTCTTACAGTGAAGACTATGCTGTTTTATTTTACATTTGATTATTCATTTCTGTTAACTAAATACTTGAGACTTGCATAAAAAATCCTTAAAGCACAGTTTGTTTCATTTGTATCTATTTATTCTATTGCATTTGTCCTTGGCTTTTTTATTACTGACAGTTTAATTATTTTCAATAATTTTGAGGAGTTTTTTGTTTGTTACTAATATCAGTTACCCTAATACTCTGCTGTGGTATTGAAAATTGTGAAATTTCGCTGGTCTCTAAAATATAGATGTCATAGCAACCTTATTTACATGAAATATATATTTAATATATAACTATCTTTAAATAAATCACTCATATAAAGTTTTGGTCATATGGCCCACTCATAATCGTGTTAAATAATCGTGATTACAATATTGACCAAAATAATGATTTTTGCCATAATCGAGCAGCCCTACGTCCCGCCCCTCACCTCAGCGGCTTGTGCTCCGGTTGTATTGTAAACAACGGCGTCGTTAATATCGCTTATCCGTTTGAGCCCGATTGAGAAGCAGAGGATATTATTGAAGAGGATCGTGCAGAACCTGCACATTTAATTACACATTTTTTTCCTCAGTAACTGTAACTGATTACAGTTACATTTATTTTGTTATTAAATTACATAATTTCGTTACATGTAACTAGTCCCCAACACTATATGTGTGAGTAAATGATGACAGAATTTCATTTGTGACCCTGGACCACAAAACCAGACATAAGGGTCAATTTTTCGAAATTGAGGTTTATACATAACCTGAAAGCTGAATAAATAAGCTTTCCATTGATGTATGGTTTGTTAGGATATAGGACAATATTTGGCCGAGATCGAAAATCTGGAATCTGAGGGTGCAAAAAAATCTAAATATTGAGAAAATCGCCTTTAAAGTTATCCAAATGAAGTTCTTAGCAATGCATATTACTAATCAAAAAGTTTTGAAATATTTACGGTATGAAATTTACAAAATATCTTCATGGAACATGATCTTTACTTAATATCCTAATGATTTTTGGCATAAAAGAAAAATCTATAATTGTGACCCATACAATGTATTTTTGGCGCTGTGTGTTTTGTTGTGAAAGCGAAACTACTTTGTTTGGTCTTCCAAAAGAGGACATGACTAGAAATCAGTGGTTAAGTTGTATTTACAACACTGTTCCAGAACACTTCAGCCCAAATATTCAGATGTGTGCAGCACATTTTACGGAGGACTGTTTCTTGGGAGAGTAGCCGCCGGCGCGATGCAACGCAACGCGTAAAAATACAGTATAAGTCATTATAATCCGTATTTATGTCCCCACTGGATGCAACAAATGCCTTGTTTGTAATAGGTTTTATTGTTTTTGTCTTGTCGCGCAGGGACACGGCATCACAATATGGTAAGGGGCGTAACATTTCCGTCACACGCTTGAGGTATTCGGCCAATCACAACGCACTGGATAGCTGGCCAATCACAGCACACCTCGCTTTTCAGACCGATGAGCTTTGTAAAAATCGACGCGTTTCAGAAAGGCGGGGCATAGAGGAGAAACAATAATGTACAGTATGTGGAAAATAATGTGTTTTTTTAACCTTAAACCACATAAACACATTTCATTACACCAAATACACAAAATAATGTTCTTTTTAGCAACATCATATGACCCCTTTAAGACTGGTTTTGTGGTCCAGGGTCACATTTATGAGTGGACTATCCCTTTATTACAAAACGTTCAAATGTCACTGTGGATAAAAACATCTGCTAAACGAATGAACTATTTTGTTAAAATAATAATAATAATATTTAAATAATTTAGATTTCACAAATTTTACAATCTACAATGACTTGGATGAATAAATGCCTTCAGAAATGTTACACAAACAAGCTTTCTTCCTTCTGAACATCCCTAGCTTCTTAAATGATTAAATCTAAGGCCCCAAATCAATAACCAATTTCTTAACCAATTAATGTGCTTGTATCTAAATCAAGCCAATAGGACGGGGCGCAGCACGCAGAAAGTGCTGATTCACTCATGGCCGCCTGTCCTTCCTCTGATGAGCTGAAGTATGAAACCTGAGTTCTAGTAACACTGTGTCCTAAAGCCCAGATGAAAATCATACAAAATGCAAGGACACACTGCACTGCAGTGACACAGCAGCGCTGCAACAGCTTCTTTAACATGCACCGCACTGTCAAAAATTGAAAATAAATGTTCTTGAAACCTTAAAAAATTAATAAGGATAAAATAATAAACAAATCACCTAAAATGGAGAGGAAAAAATGCTGAACAAATGAAATTGAATTTAGTTAGAAAAAAAGCAACACAGAAGCATTTTCATTGAGTTGAACCTGAGTTGACTGTTGAAATCCACCATACCATGAAACATTTCCTCACAGTAGTGCCTTACTTCCATTCTCACTCCATCACTGCTCACTCCCCTCCTCCCAGTCTCTGTTTTTCTTCATCCAGTGTGATGCGTGTGCATTACACTCACCTTGAGCGGTGCCGTTGGGACCCCATGCCCAGCGTTTATTCCTGTTCTCCAGCTGCAAGCTGCGCTCCAGTGATCTCCTCAATAGAGCTTCCAGACGCTCCTGTGTGTGCCGTTCCAGCACAGGAAACACCAGACACTCACTTCACCAGTGGACATTTACACCAACAACATCAGTACAACCACAAGGGGTGTAGATATATGCACTGATAGAAGAATGATCTTCATCTACACTACCCATAATTCCATATGATTGCCTATATATACTGTTCAAAAGTATGGGGTCAGTAAGACTTTCATTTAGTTATTTAGTTATTTTTGAAAGAAAGTAATACATTTATTCATCAAGGATGCATTAAATTGATTAAAAGTGGCAGTAAAGAAATGCATAATGTTACAAAAGATTTCAATTTCAAACCAATGTTGTTCTTTTGAACTTTCTATTCATCAAAGAATCCTGAAAAAAAGGTTTCCACAAAAATATTAAGCAGCACAACTGTTCAACATTAATAACAAGAAATGTTCAAATAAGCATATTAGGATGCTCCTCATATAGAAGGAGTAATGATGCTGAAAATTCAGCTTGGCCATCACAAGAATAAATTACATTTTAAAATATATTAAAATAGAAAACAGTTATTTTAAGTTGTAATAATATTTCACAATATTACAGTCTTATTACTGTGTTTTTGATCGAATTAATGCAGCCTTATAGTGAGCATAAGAGACTTGTTTCAAAAACATTGTGAAAATAAGTTGTACTAACCCCAAACTTTGGCAGTGTAGTGCCAAATCAAGTACTAAATAACACCTTCATTTCCTTCATTAAGTTCTAAAACATTCACTTCTAAAGATATGGCACTAATAAGCACCACATAAATAGCAAGTTGCATCCTCAAATATTGACATGGTAATTTATGAAGCAAATTTCAGCCATTTCATTTAAGCTTCCATTTGTATTTGCTTTGCTTTGCTTTGCATCTATGAAAATGGTTCCAGCAACATTTGTTGAGTCCAGCATCACCTCCCCCGCATGCCACCTTGTTCCTCTTTCGTTCTTTGCCCACTCCTTTTCAGGACCAGCCTTTCCAAAATGAACATAGTTGTGAAAGCTTACTGTGTGGCAGATGAAAGCCATGTTTGAGAAGAATAATGAATCCGCAGCCCAGCGAGAGACAAGGATTAAAATAAAGTCTGATCTGATCTGATCTGATCTGGCCAAATCCCTCTGATTGGAGAAGTATCACAAGCCACAGAACCCAGTAAACACTCACAGGCTCATAACAGATAAATGAGTGTGTAAGAATAGTGTCTGCCCTGTGGGTGGGTGATATTACATGGCAAGGCAGGATTTCATTGCCATAGATACAGTGCAACTGCTGAAAATGTCATTTTGCACAACATAAAATTTTTCTTAAAGGGGTCATATGATGCTTTTTTAAAGATCATTATTTTGTGTATTTGGTGTAACAGAATATATTCACAATACATGCAGGCCTAATTGCCTTAAAGCTATTCGAGATTATTTACAAAAGAAGGTTTCAATTGACTGGCTGGACTCAAGTATTATCTAATTGTGTCCTGACATCTGGCATATCAGCGCCAAATGAGAAAATCTGAAAGCATTTGAAAGGTCAAGGGAAGAATACAGTGTCTGCTCTTTCATGACTCCTTGCTTGGACATCGAGTCCTAGGACAGATGCATTTGACTAGATCTCTGACCTTCTCCTCCTCCAGCTGCTGTCTTCTCTTCTCCTCCACGGCTGCTCTGCGAAGCTCCTCCTTCTGTCTCTGCTCCTCCAGCCGCTTCCATCGCTCTTCCACCGTCTTCTCATACTGCAGCTGTGCCCGCCTTTCCTTCTCCTTTATAGCTTGCTCTGCAACTTCAGGGATCTTATCTATGCACAATCAGCTTGTAACACTCCAAAGAGAAAGGAAAACTTGAAATCGCATCATATGACCCCTTTAAATTCTTAAAATGTATTCACAATACATGCAGGCCTAATTGCCTTAAAGCTATTCGAGATTATTTACAAAAGAAGGTTTTAATTGACTGGCTGGACTCAAGTATTATCTAATTGTGTCCTGACATCTGGCATATCAGTGCCAAATGAGAAAATCTGAAAGCATTTGAAAGGTCAAGGGAAGAATAGCATCTTGTGTCCATCTTAAATGAACAAAAACAGTGTCTGCTCTTTCATGACTCCTTGCTTGGACATCGAGTCCTAGGACAGATGCATTTGACTAGATCTCTGACCTTCTCCTCCTCCAGCTGCTGTCTTCTCTTCTCCTCCACGGCTGCTCTGCGAAGCTCCTCCTTCTGTCTCTGCTCCTCCAGCCGCTTCCATCGCTCTTCCACCGTCTTCTCATACTGCAGCTGTGCCCGCCTTTCCTTCTCCTTTATAGCTTGCTCCCGTGCAGCTGAGAGAGAGAGAGAGAGAGAGAGAGAGAGCGAGAGAAACTAT